AATGATTCCTTTCTTAGGATGGTGCATTCTGATATAGTTTGGCTCTGTGTCCCCAAACAACTCCTCTCAAATTGCAATTCCCATGTGTCAGGGAAGGGATCTGGTGGGAGGTGATTGGATCATGGGGGCAATTTCCCTATTGTTGTTCTCGTGATAGTGGTCGAGTTCTTATGAGATCTGATGGTTTAAAAGTGTGTAGCAGTTCCCTGCTCCCTCTCTTTCTCTCCTGCCCCCATGGCGTTCCCTTCACCCTCTGCCATGATTGTACATTTCCTGAGACCTCCTTAGTCATGAAAAACTGTGAGTCAATTAAACCTCTTTCCTTTATAAATTTTCCAGTTTCAAGTCATTCTTTTTTTTGAGATGGAGTCTTGCTCTGTCGCCTAGGCTGGGGTGCAGTGGCACGATCTCGGCTCACTGCAAGCTCCGCCTCCCAGGTTCATGCCATTCTCCTGCCTCAGCCTCCCGAGTAGCTGGGACTACAGGCGTCCGCCATCACGCCCGGCTACTTTTTTTGTGTTTTTTTTTAGTAGAGACGGGGTTTCACTGTGTTAGCCAGGATGGTCTCGATCTCCTGACCTCGTGATCTGCCCGTCTCGGCCTCCCAAAGTGCTGGGATTACAGGCATGAGCCACCATGCCCAGCCCAGGTCATTCTTTATAGCACCATGAAAACGAACTAATATGCATTTCTAGTGCATTCTACAGTGATTCTGGGAACTCTGGGCAAGAAGAAAGGTGGGAAAGCCAGAGTCATCCAATGCTTGTCTTCTGGTGCCCTCCAGGAAGCCATTTCTGGTACCCTGGGCGCTGCTCCCAGCCTTACTCACCCTGGGTCATCACTGGAGAGGTGTCTCTGTCCTCCCTGGACTATGATAACCAGGAGGGCAGGACCTGGAACTAAGTCACAATTGTGGCCATAGCATCGACTGGCACACAGTAAGTGTACAGGGTGTATTAAATGAATGAATGAAAAAAGTGAATTGATGATGAAAGTCCTATGTTCAAGGTGTGTCTCACTCAACCCGTCTGTCCTGTCATGGTGACTTGGTGAGACTTGCTGCCTGCAGGTCTTCAAACCTCCCTCTCTTCCAGACAGCCCCAGGGCTTCCCTGTGCCGCTGCTTCTCAGCTGTGCCCTACGGAGTCAGATGCATGGAGGAATGTCTAAGGCTGGATTCCACAGCCCACCTTTTCCCCGCTTAGCCCTCCCAACACAGGACACAGCCACATGCAGGGCTGCAGGAGCCCAGGCTGCCAACAGCATCAGCCACCTGCTAGGAGAGGCTAAGGACGGGTGAGACTCAGAGCCTTCCAGCTTACTACGTTTATAAATCCCTTGGCTGAAACTATTAGGGAAAACAGTTGTGACATCATCACGTGGGTTACACACAGTCACAAAGAAAAGGGAAAGCAAAAATTGACAAGAGTGTGTCAGCCTCCCTAAGGGGAATATCTCCAGATTTGGATCCCAAATGACTTTTTTCAGAGGAACCCTCCTTCCTTCTCCTCAGAACAAGCACATTCATTCACACAGGAAGGAGATTAAATTCCTGTGGAGCAGAGGAGGAAAAACCTTTTCACAGGGGAGATTCTGTGGTTTTAACTGTCCTGGGGCCATAATGTATTTGAGAGTCTGGAAATAATTATACAGTTTTTGCCCACATTATCACAGATAATTGCAAAATATTGTGAAATGCCACTAAATTGCACACTTGAAAACACGCACACATACACACATGAAAAGTTAAGGAAAGGCCAGGCGCGGTGGCTCAAGCCTGTAATCCCAGCACTTTGGGAGGCCGAGATGGGCGGATCACAAGGTCAGGAGATCGAGACCATCCTGGCTAACCCGGTGAAACCCCGTCTCTACTAAAAAATACAAAAAACTAGCCGGGCGACGTGGCGGGCGCCTGTAGTCCCAGCTACTGGGGAGGCTGAGGCAGGAGAATGGCGTAAACCCGGGAGGCGGAGCTTGCAGTGAGCTGAGATCCGGCCACTGCACTCCAGCCTGGGCGACAGAGCGAGACTCCGTCTCAAAAAAAAAAAAAAAAGAGAAGTTAAAGAAAAATATGTATTTTACTGGTGGAGAGTGTTGGGCAAGAAGAAAAAGAACAGTCCAGACGTCTGGTGCTGAATAGTCTGCTCTGGTTCAACTAACAATAAAGCCCTCAGTCAATTTGGTCACTGAAAAGACTTGATCACTTCCTGTTGACGATCAGAAACCACAGCAGAGACCTGACTTTTGCGTGTCTGCCTTAACAGAAAAGCCACAAAGAACCATGATAAGGGCATGGCAGATGACAATCACGGTGCTATCAGGAGGTAACAGGTGACTGATCTCAGCCTTGATGTTCAAGAAGATTTCAGGGGGTGGGTGACATTTAAGTGAAAGATGAAGAATGAAGAGGGATGGAATATTGGGTGCAGAAGCAGGGGTGACGCTGTGGCTCTCCCAAGGAGCTGTGTTAAGCCAAGGGCAGTGAGAGCCAGGGAAGGGGTGCAGGATGTGGGTGTGGACACTTGGGATCCAGCTTACATCTTCAGGACCTTCTGGTCTGCAGAGGCTGGAAGCTTCATGCTTTCCTTCCGAGAAGACCTTGAAGCTGGGGTTCTGGATGCATTTGAATCTCTGGACAGCACAGCCATAGTGTCTCTCGGTGTAGCCACAGGAACATCTCATGTCCGGGTGATGGCCCTGAATTGCTGAGACACTATTCTAGCCACAGAACCGGCATCCGGATCTTGAGTCTCCGCTCGGTAAATTGTTCTAGCTTCATTCCTGGCAGCAAATCCTGGGGCCTCTCCTCCAGCCCCTCCTATGACATGGAGGCTCTTAATTCACTGGTCTGCATCATGTGAAGGATCCTGCCAGAGCAGGGATCAGGCTTTGGTCAACAGAAACCCCCTTGCAGGGAGCTTCTGAAATCCCAACATCGTGTTTGGAGAAAATGACTCACACGGACTCTTCCTTGTCAACCAGCAGCAGAGGGGCCTCCGGCCTGGGGAAAACCAGCGTTCCTTCTACATACCTGACATACTTGCACACCTGAAATTCCACCTCATTCCTGCCTGTTTCCTTGCAGGGCTTCCCTGAGGGCAGATGGAAAGGCCACTCCAAAGCTGCCAGGAGGGAGATTCCTTCTATTTTTTCTTGGAGTAAAAGGGCAAGCAGTGGGGGAGCTGCTGACAGCAGGAAATGCCAACATCCTCTGGGGTTTCACATTCCAGAAGCCGAGATCTGCCAGCCCTGCCCGGGAGCCCTGGGAACATCAGACCTGGGTGTCCTCTAAGAGTGTCTGTGAACAGACACTTCCCAGAGGGGCCAGGCCTGGGGAGCTTGGCAGCTATTGGGTGGGAGGTCAGGAGACCCGGGTTTCCTGGCCCAGCCTGTGTCACTGACAACCACCAGCAGAACCTCAGCCCGTGTCTTGCTTGGATCCAGGAAGTGGGTGAGAGAGTGACAGCGAAGGTCATTTGAGGTCAGGGTTTACATTGACTGTCCAGACACCTGGGATCTTCTCTAGACACTTGAGAACAGGCTTCTACCGGGAAATCCTGGTCCCGCCTCACACAGCTGGCCCCCAGGCAGAAGACAGACCCATGGCCAGACATGGATGCCCCAGACTGGGCATCTGAGGGGGATTCTGAGGGACTGGTGGCGGGATCGGACATGGCTGTGTGCACAGCCTCTTCTCACATCTTAGGAAGGGGCAGGGACAGGGTTTGAACCCAGGGCTGACTGACTTTAAAGCCTCATCATGTCTAGTCAGGGGCTCTTAGTGTCCAGGGAGCCCCGGATGGACGCCCACTGGCCTCACACTGTCCCAGCCTCTGAGGCCCCCATGCTCTGCTAAAATCTCCCTCCACCTTAGAGACGTTGGGCTGACTCAGCTGCTCTGAGAGACCAGGCTCAGGCCAGGAAGAGCAGCTGGCCTCCTCCCTCCTCAGAGATGCCCACCCTGCCCCTGCCCCGGGGAAGGTGGTCTACTCTCTCACTCTGGCTCATATGCAGGCAGCCTTGCCTCTTCTTGGTAGAGACAGTAAGACCTAGTGCAGGGCTCCACTGCAGCCTCCTAGAAAATGCCTGGAACCAAGGACCTGAAAACCGTACCCCTTTATGGACAACATCAAAGGGGAGACATGTCAGTGACTCTTAGAGAAGAAGGAGATGATCCTGGAGGCTTCTGTGCTCCCAAGTGTCTTAACCATTTGGCTGTGACTCCCTGCAGAAACTAGATATCTAGTTCTAGATATATGCTATGCTATCATGTAATAATATCATGACAGAACAACATAATAATATTCTATCATTACTTGGAATACACACAGTCCCAATAAGAGAGTCCTAAACAGGCTGGGCACAGTGGCACACACCTGTAATCACAGCACTTTGGGAGGCTGAGGTGAGCAGATCACTTGCGTTCAGAAATTCAAGACCAGCCTGGCCAATACGGTAAAACCCCATCTCTATGGTGAATACAAAAATTAGCCGGGCATGGTGGCGGGCATCTGTAACCCCAGCTACTCAGAAGCTGAGGCAGGAGAATTGCTTGAACCTGGGAGGCAGAGGTTGCAGTGAGCCAAGAACGTGCAACTGCACTCCAGCCTGGGTGACAGAACCAGACTCCATCTCAAAAATAAATAAATAAATAAACTTTTTTTTTTTTTTTTTTTTTTAAGAAAAGAGTGCCATAAACAGTTGAGCACAGCATTCCGGTAAATGCACACTGCCCCATTTTCTAACCCTTTTTTTAAAAATTAAAAATGACATTGTTTATGCCCAGCTGCACTGGTTTTCCACACTACTAGCACATACTAATCTGTGTGCTGGAAAACACTGCTGTACCCACAGCGGCAAGGAATGGAGGCCAATGGAGCGGACAGGGAGATGGTGCTGGAAGCGGGGTCTGCTCTTCCCTGGGTGAAGGTGGTGTTGAGCACTCTGGTCTTTATTGAGGTCATTTCTGCTGCAGCCTCTTCCCTTGTCTCCTGTCTCCAGAGAGAACCCCCTGTCCATGCTGCCCAGGAACACAGATGCAGGATCTTCCACGCACACAAACCTGATGACATCCATGCCTTGCTGGGACCCAGCCATGGTGCCTAGAGGGTGACAGGTCACCTTGCCTGGCCGGGAGGAGAATGGCTTGTTCATGCCAGGTGTGGCCTGTGAGCTTGAGCTGAGGAACTCCTGCAGAACCTCAGAGGGGCTCACAGAACTGACCCAAAACAGCTCCTTCCCCTCTGTCCTCACATCCTGACCCAAGATGGCTCTTCTCAGGGAAAATCACAACCCATCCCTCTGAAAAAGCACACTAAGGAAAAAGGCCTTTGAGAATCTCAGGAGAGCTGTGGAATTTCTCCACCAGAACTTCAGAGTGCTAATGACACTGAACACAGGAACCAAAACAACCAAAATCAGGAGTTTTATTCTCCTACCTTCTCTCTCTCTCTCTCTCCTCTCACTGTCATGAACTTCATGAAGACACTGACTTTGCGTTTTCTACTCAGCACTGCATCACCAGTGTCTGACACAAAGCCTGGGGCATGTGGGCTTCCAAGTGGACCTGTCCTGGATAAATGACCATTAATGAGACAGAGAAGGAGGTGAAGAGCCCCCAGAGGAGTGTGAGTCCCGGGGGTCCAGCCAGCTTCACTCCCACTTTCCAAACCTGTGAAAGTCAGGTGCCTGAGTTTCACAGTCTCTCCCACCCGAGTGCCATGAACTCCAGGTGACTGAGCAGTTACTGGATTCTTGACCATGCATTTCGGTTGTGAGGTCAGGACCTAATGGGCCCCCTTGGAAAGATGTCATGGGTTAGCAATGTCCCAAGGAAATTGGGGAAAGTCATAGCTCAGTAGGATCCAGTGGAATTGCTGTGCGGACGTGGTAAGTGTGGGAGAGTGTTAATGCCAGGAGCATCCTGCACCTTCCTATTTGCAGGAGGGCTCAGTGTGGGGAATGACACTGGGGCACGTAGCACAGGGAAGATGAAGGGCACACCGCTTCTCTCCTGAGAACAAAGGTGAGATCAAAGCTACAATGACACGTACCCTGCCTGGCACCTCTCCTGCCCAAAGACCCAGCCTGTCTCTGCAGGACTTGCAGGAGGGCAGGACATGCTATGACATCACCAGCTCCACTAGAAATATGGGATAAAAGGAGTGGCTGAGATCTGCTGATCACCTGCTCACTCCACTGCAGCCACCCCAGATCCATGGCTTCCCGAGGCTGCGTCCTGGGTAAGGAGGACAGGACCCCATTTCTACCCGAGCCTATCTCCTATCTCAGCCACCATCAGGGCTCGCTTCCCACCCCAAACTACACCTCATCCCTGCTGCCATGCCCAGCCAAATCTCCAGGTGTGAATTGCTCACAGCAATTTCCCATCCACAGTTCCCAGATTAGCCCCATCCACAGCCCTGTTTTAGTTCCTGAACTACTCAAAGCCATACCGAGCCCTGGTTCCACCCAATCTTCTTCTAAATGTCGGTGCCAGTCATATCTGTGGCTGTCCACTCACCCCATCTTCCCTTTCCCTTTCCCACAGCTGTCTTTGCCATTTTCTTCATCTCCAGGATCCTCTGCTCACACGGAGCCCCAGGTGAGCCCAGGAGGGCTTGGGAAGCTGGGGGAGGGGTACACCTTCCAGGGGACCCCAGGCTGGGACCCACCTGCCACCACCACCTGGATCTCACCAGCTCTGTCTCCTCCAGTGGCCCCCATGACTCCCTACCTGATGCTGTGCCAGCCGCACATGAGATGTGGAGACAAGTTCTACGACCCCCTGCAGCACTGTTGCTATGATGATGCCGTCGTGCCTTTGGCCAGGACCCAGAGGTGTGGAAACTGCACCTTCAGAGTCTGCTTCGAGCAGTGCTGCCCCTGGACCTTCATGGTGAAGCTGATAAACCAGAACTGCGACTCAGCCCCGACCTCGGATGACAGGCTTTGTCGCAGGTGAGTCCTGTCCCCTCCATGGGGTTGTGGGTGTAGGGGAGCTGCATGCCTGTTCTGCCCTGGGCGGAGGCCCCATTCTCCTTGTCTCCCTGTCTCTGCCCTCTGCCTCTATTCAATCCACCTCTCCCTTTCCCTACGCCTGTGTCTCTTCCTCCATCTGTTTTTATTTCCCTCTCAGAATCTCACTGTTTCTACCCCGCTGTGCTCTCCTTCTGGCTCTCCTGTCCTCCTTTCTGCCCATGTTCAGTCTTGCCCTGATCTCCGGCCATCTCTGTCCTGCTCAGTGTCTCTCTGTCACTCTCTCCATTGTCAGCTGATGGAACATCAGGGGAATGATGACTCCTGGATTCTCCTTCCTGGATGGGCCTGGAGAAAGAGGCTGGTGTTACCTGAGATCTGGGATGCTGAGTGGCTGTTCTGGGGCAGGAGAAACACACACTCAGCTGCCCACCTCATTCTGTGACCTGTCTGAGGTCCACCCTGCGGCTGCCCTGAGGAGGCCCACAGGTCCCCTTCTAGGATTCTGGACAGCGTGAGATGCATGTGCTGATGGGGGCCCAGGGACTCTGACACCTCATGACGACCCCTATGGCTAACATCAACCAGGCACCACCCCAAGGCTGGCTGGGGAACCCTTCACCCTTCTGTGAGATTTTCCATTCCCTTAAGTTCTCTTCTATCCAGGAGCAAAGCACAGGACCATAATAAATTTATGTACATTGTAAATTAATGCTGTAGAATTCATGAATTAGAGAGTTTGGACGGTTGAAAGGGGTCACAAAGGGTGATGTGGGGCCCCTTCTCTCTGTCACCCTGCGGCATCTTGGCCTTTCCCTTTGTTCTGCTCATGCACACACTTATTTTTTCTTTCTCCATTTATTTTTTAAATTTATGATTTTGTTATTCGTGCTTGGTGACTAGGGCCCTGGCCACCCCTGGGACAGGGGTCACCCTACTACACTAGCCTCCACCACCCCATGGCTCCCTGAACCCAGTCCCAGGATCGGGAGCCGCCCAGGTTGGGTGGGGAGGAGGTGGGGATCGAGGGAGGGCTTCGGAGAGGCACTCCCTGTCCCACACGAGTTCTGGGACAGAACAGGATCTGGCTGTTTATTCTCGATGTCCATTAGGGAGATGCAGACAGACTGGGAAAGAACGGAGGTTCTTTCTGTAACCAGTTATGGGGAGAAGGTCGGAGTAGCTTACCAGACCAACTCAGAGTTACAAGCTTCTTTTTCTTTTTTCTTTTCTTTTTTTTTTTTTCTTTTTTTTTTTTTGAGACAGAGTCTCGCTCTGTCGCCCAGGCTGGAGTACAGTGGCGGGATCTCAGCTCACTGCAAGCTCCGCCTCCCGGTTCACGCCATTCTCCTGCCTCAGCCTCCCGAGTAGCTGGGACTACAGGCCCCCGCCACCTCGCCCGGCTAGTTTTTTGTATTTTTTAGTAGAGACGGGGTTTCACCGTGTTAGCCAGGATGGTCTCGATCTCCTGACCTCGTGATCCACCCGTCTCGGCCTCCCAAAGTGCTGGGATTACAGGCTTGAGCCACCGCGCCGGGCCACAAGCTTCTTTTTCTAGTGCTTATATACATTCTAAGCTCCATGCCTATGTGCGGAGTGCACCTGCAAGACAGCATATTTCATTCTATCAATATCTAAACATTAAGTAGTGACTAGGGTCTGGAAAGCTTTCTCCAGAGTCTTGGAAAGTTTCTTAATCTTGAATGGACCCTAGTATGAGGAATATGTGAAAGAATGCTATTATTATTTGATCAGACTTTAGCATCTGAGAAAACCCAGCTGGGGTTTTAATGGGCTTGTTTTCTCATTCCTGCCCTAGTCCCCAGGCACTAGTTTTTCCAGTTCTATAATGTTTAATGTGTTAATGCATTCATAAAATTAAAGTTTAGTGGAAACTGACTCTTCTGGTCGCTAACAGAAACCTGACCTGCCACACACCTATCCCAGGCATGCGTCCCTTGGGATCCTGGAAAACTCACTGGGCAGGTCCAGGGCCCAGAGATGCCACACTTAGTCTGACTTTGGGCCAAAGCTGGAGCCTGAGCAGGGTGGGGCAGGATGCAGAGGGTGTGGGCCATGGAGGAGCCCCTGGGGTTGGAAGGAGGAAGCAAAGGCCAGCCAAGGCACCTGAAGCACATTCTTCAGGCCCCGTGCCAGGGACAAACCCTTGTGCCCAGTGCTGATGTGGAATAGATCGCAGGGAGGGGGCCACGCTGCTGTTTAACCGACCCAGAAGCAACTTCCTTAGGGAGGGTTCAGCCCTAGGGTCTCCATCAACCTGGATTCCCTGAAATCAAAGAAGCCACCACCTTTCTGGGTCCTGTTTCCCAGGGCCAGGGGATCTGCACAGCGCCCAGACCTGCGTCCATGGGCTTCAGTCACCCGAGGCCACCCCAGGCTCCCAGACTGCCCCATGGCTTCCCGGGCAGATTCTGACTCAAAGGGTTCCATCATCGCCCCACAGGCGGCAGCATCGCCTCAGTGGCCCCAGACGGGCCCAGTGGCCAGGTGTCTGCACCTGCGGGAACTCTGGACCCAGCACATAAGGATGGCAGCAATCTGGCATCACAGGGCAAATGCCCTGTCTCACAGGCCTAACCCTAGCTCAGGGCTTATCAGTGGGCGCACACCCACTGCTGGGTGAGCTCTGCCTCCCCATACCAGGATTCTGCAGGGCGTAAGGGCTGTGCTGACGCCTAGAGAGCGACAGACCCACACCACCTACAGGGCGGCTGCTTCCTCATCCTCCACAGTGAGCGTCCTAAACCTTCACCCTGTCCACATGTGACTCTCCCTGCCTCCATTCTCCCCACCCATGAAATTATCTCATCTGGATATTTTAGTGGAAAACTAGAAAGTTTTAAGTGACTGCAGGAGAACAGGACAGAGGCGGGTCTCCCAGCTCAGACCCCGCCCTGGACGCCCCCACGGAAGCCGCACAGCATGATGTAGGTGCCCAAGGCACCTTGTGTGCGCGGAGAGGCCTCGTTCAGCCCCGCCCCTCTTAAACCCGGTATCCTCAGGTGTCTGGGTCCTGCCCCATACGGGCCCTCTAGACCACCGGTCCAGATCCCCCACCTTCTCACAACACGAGGTATTGACATCAAAGCATCACCTCATCTGGTACATGAATCTGAAACACAGACCACACCTTACACCAACGTGGTGAATCCCTCCTTGGACCTCAGTCCAACAAGCCCAGAGTCGAGGCTCTGGGTTTTCGCCCAAATGTCGCGCATGCGCACAAAAGACACCTGGCGTCTCCTCTAAGGGACAGGAATCTCAGGCTTCCCAGAATCACTAGGTCTGATTTAAATAGCATCAAATAAATTGGAAAAGAAAGAAAGTGCTATAAAGTTCGGCTAAGGTGATGAATTTTCAGAGGTTGTATCAGTCCTGTCTCATGAAGGGAGTGAAGGAGTTTTCTTTGAACATCCATGAGGATGAAGAACAGTCACTGAGGTGACAGTACCAAGTCACCAATCACCTCCCAGGGATCCTCTCATCCGGTCCTCACAGCAGTGCTGCATGGTCGGACCTCATCACCCACATTCCACTAAGAGGAAGCTGAAGCCCGGGGCCTTCATCCACTCATGTCCTCCAGACCCCTGGCACCCATCCTGGGCCGCACCCCATCATCCAGACCTTGGACCTTCGACCTGGGGAGGGTCCCTGTCTCCTCCATGAGCCGTCCTGGGCCTGAAGAGGTATCCAATAAACAAGAAAGCAGAACAGAAAGAGCTGTGATGGAGTGGATCTTATGTACTAAGAATAAAATTATTTTGAGAAATTTCTGGGTCATGTATTTACCCACAGAAAAACAGAAGCTAACACACACACACACACACACACACACAGGCTGTCACGTGTCCTCAGCACAAAGTGCCTTGAGCAAGACCATTGCTGACCCCACACTTAGCCTGACTGTGATCTTGCTGTGATCAGCACATCCCATCAGTGTGGCAACAGGTGTGGCCAGCATGGAAACCAGGTCTCTTCTTCAGATTTGCTCTGTTTCTGAATAGCCACCGTCAGAACAGGCACCCTCCTAGAAGTCACTTGATTAAAAATTTCCTTTTGGATATTTAGGTTGATGTTCTATCAATCAGCTAAAGTGTAAATGTGTATTTAATATAAAAGTGTAACTTACAGCTCTAATTAGTGATTATGGTGACTTTTACTAACTATAGCTATTAAAATATTCCAATAGATAAAAATAGTGCTAAAATGTACAGTTATCACAGGAGTAATTACTTTAAGATAAATTTTATAATTTTTGGTCTAATAAATCTTCATAAAATATACATGATCATGAAGCACACCAATAGAATTAATCCTAATATTTATAGCAATACTTGGTGTGCTATCTCTCATAAAAAATATCATTGATAGTAAAAAAAAAAAAAAGAAAAAAGAAAAGAAATCGTCCAGGCGCGGTGGCTCACGCCTGTAATCCCAGCACTTTGGGAGGCCGAGGCGGGCGGATCCCAAGACCATTCTGGCTAACACTGCGAAACTCCGTCTCTACTAAAAATATAAAAAAATTAGCTGGGCGTGGTGTCAGGCGCCTGTAGTCCCAGCTACTTGGGAGGCTGAGGCAGGAGAATGGTGTGAACCCGGGAGGCGGCGGAACTTGCAGTGAGCCGAGATCAGCCACTGCACTCCAGCCTGGGCGACAGAGCGAGACTCTGTCTCAAAAAAAATTAATAATAATAACAAAGAGATGATGAAATTTGGCCGGGCGCGGTGGCTCACGCCTGTAATCCCAGCACTTTGGGAGGCCGAGGCGGGCGGATCACAAGGTCAGGAGATCGAGACCACGGTGAAACCCCGTCTCTACTAAAAATACAAAAAATTAGCCGGGCGCGGTTGTGGGCGCCTGTAGTCCCAGCTACTCGGGAGGCTGAGGCAGGAGAATGGCGTGAACCCGGGAGGCGGAGCTTGCAGTGAGCCGAGATCGCGCCACTGCACTCCAGCCTGGGCGACAGAGCGAAACTCCGTCTCAAAAAAAAAAAAAAAAAAAAAAAAGATGATGAAATTTAAAAATTCTATTTAATTTTGAGTTGTTTAATTTTCATTTAGGGCATGACTATCTGAAGTAATAAATTTTGGGGGGCATTAATATGAGATGACTTATGTCTCCCCCTAAATTCATGTGTTGAAGTCCTAACCCCAGTATCTCAGAATATAACTGTGTTTGGAGACAAGGCCTTTGAAAAGGTGATTACGGTAAAATGACGTCATATGAGTGGGACACAATCCAAGCTGACTGGCGTCCTTATAAGAGGAGATTAGGCCGGGTGCCGTGGCTCACGCCTGTAATCCCAGCACTTTGGGAGGCCGAGGCGGGCGGATCACGAGGTCAGGAGATCGAGACCATCCTGGCTAACACGGTGAAAGCCCTTCTCTACTAAAAATACAAAAAAATTAGCTGGGCGTGGTGGCGGACGCCTGTAGTCCCAGGTGCTCGGGAGGCTGAGGCAGGAGAATGGCGTGAACCCGGGAGGCGGAGCTTGCAGTGAGTGGAGACAGCGCCACTGCACTCCAGCCTGGGCAACAGAGGGAGAGTCCGTCTCAAAAAAAAAAAAAAAAAGAGAGAAGATTAGGGCACACACACACGCCGAGGCCATGTGAGGACACAGGGAGAAGCTGGCCATGGATAAGCCAAAAGATAGACCCTAAGAAGAAACCATCCGGCCAACACCTTGATCT